ACCTAAACCAGAACTACTGACCTCAATAATAAACAGTGCTCAGTATGTTTCTATTGCAATATTATGTCATAATTGCAACTGATTCACAGTGGGACAAAGAGTTGCATTTAGATGCAGGTATAATTTAGAACAGATACACAGAGATCCATGGGGTTTAAGTGAGTCACTATGAACTTAAGTCTGCTGGCGTTCAATAGGCCTATCCTATGTATGATGAAGTCTGGCAAGAACCTAAAAATATTCTCCCTTTTCAATATTTTCAGAATTAAATTACATCTTGTGGTTGGCTTATTCACATTCCTGTTTAAGAAGACAGGGCAGGAAAGAAGAACTTTAAACAACATTTAACAGGGTCTGGAAGGTTCACAGGGAATGCAGCATATCGAGGGCAGTGATGCTTGATATGAGTATGGCACGTATTACATTTGCATCATGACAGGCGTGCAGTTGGCAAGGTATCACTTAGGTGGCAGATCTGGAGTCCTGATAATGAATAATGACTGGAGAAGTGAACAGACAAATTCTATTACCAAATTCAAAAGACAAATACTAAACCATTCTGTGTAAGTTTGATGTATTACTGACAAACTGGTTTCTAACTCAGACTGAAAATGAAGTTAAGGACACGGTGTTTCAGTGGAGAAGTTCCTATCCTTTGCTGGGTTTCCTTAGAAGCTGAAAGCTGAGGGCAGTGCTACACTGTGCTATTTTGATCCACTAATCTAAATACAGTGGTACCTCAACTTACGAACTTAATCCGTATTGGAATGGCGTTCCTACATCGAAAAGTTCATAAGTCGAGGCAAACGTGGGTCAAGAAGAAGAAGAAGAAGAAAGTCCTATATTGGTGGTAGATAAAGATGAACAATACAATCTATCCTGCAATGCGGCTGACAGAATGCTAGCCTTTTCCTTGAGGAGTTACTGCTATGTGTAGGTCAGAATGCCTTGAGCTTCTCTCTACCTACAGTGACAGACCTAGATAAAGTCGACAGTGATGATGCTCCTCAGCTTGAAACTAAAGTTAAAACATCCAAAGACAATGCCAGAGTAGTAAAGGTGAAACCAAGTAACAGAAGGAAAGATCTAGTGTCATCTATAAATCGATATCCAATATTATAACAGAAAAAACCCTAAACATAATAATAATAGGAAAAATAGTACAGCAATAAAGGAAAGATAATGAATTAGATGAAAAATCGATGTTAACTCAAATAATATGTACTTGGTCACAATATTTTGTCTAACCCACACTAGATTTCTCCCACCACCACCTTCTTCAAAATGTGGAGCCTACTTGTTCTGTTGGTATGTGAATAGGGATGCATGACAACAGGTAGGAATGGAGCAGTCCATGAATCAGATATGGATATCTCATAGCCCTGAAACCCAATCTGTCAAATGCTTTCAAGAGGCAGGCATATGATGAATGCTTTCTAAGAAAGACTAGAAACACTTCCAAATTTAAAGTAGGTAGAATAGTAGGTAGAAGAGTAATCCAATAGTAGCCCATCAAGTCCAATGCATATTTTTTTTATCTTACAGTCTCAACTAGTAGTTCATTACGGTGCAATTAATAAGCTTAACAGGGCACATGTAGTTTAATAGATTTGTGAACAAACTGTGGGGAAAGGGTGTTTGCAAACATGATGAAGTTTAAGGCACAGGACACACTTCAGGGGTTCTCTGTAAATTTTTAAAGAAATCTGCATCACAGCCCATCAGTGAAAATGAATAGCTAGGCAAACAGAAAATAGTTAAGAGCCATAGTTATGAATCATTGCTACACTTCAGTTGTTTTGCTTTCTCCAAACTGTCAACATATTCCATGCGTGTACTGCGCTTGCTGAAATACCAACCCAATAAACCACAAAATGTCAGTATGAATGCAGACATACACATTCAAGACTTTTTAAAAGTCCATTACACTCCAGTGACTTGTCAAAAAAATAAATTTGCTGGATAGAAAGTCAAAGCAAAATTGAAATCTTCCTGAAGATGCTTGCTGCTTGCTATAGTATATTTAGTTTGCATAGATGCAATGCTGAGTCAATAGGAGAAAATTTTGTTGCATACTTAATCAGAGTGGCAGTGTACTAAGCAAAAGTCTTCTGAATAAGCCTTTAACAGAATCCATTACAATTTGGTGGTATTATGCATTGTGGAAACTTACATAGACACATGTATTTGTATTTAAAATTCAGCAGAACAGGAGGCATTGCAATCAACCCTGCTCCAATTATAAAGTTAGTCATGGCAAGACTTTTTTAAAAATATGCCATCAAATTGATTCTGACTCACAGCAACCTTTGCTGGGGTTTCTTAGATACGTAGTACTCAGACGTTGATTACTAGTCTTGTCTTCTGGTGATGCTCTAGGACTGTGCAGCTTGCCCAAGGCTACATAAGCTAGCTCTTCTCCAGGGAGGCCAAACTCTGTACCCCTGGCTACACAGCCAGGTACCTGAACTCATTGAACTATTCTATCTGTCAAGAAACCTGGAAGGAGTTTAATGATTCCTATAATTTCATCAGTATTAGGCACTAGTTGACAACAACTTTTATTGCTAGCATACACAACCAAATTATTCATTGCTAGTATATCCAACCAAACAATGGCTTGTAGCTCATATTGCATTAATAAGTTAAATAGTATATGAGGATACTTGCAGAGACAGCACACTGTTAAGCTTAGATGGTTATACATAATTGCGTTGGGCTAAGGTGGAGAGAACACTATATAGAACTATAGTATGTACATTCTTAGTAACACATGAAAAGGCCATCTCTGGACAACTACATCCAAGACCAAAACTGCTCTCTGAAAACACATCTTGCAGGCTTTTAAGTTTTTTTGATTGGACATAAGAGATTGATTCATACATCTTCCACTTTCAAAGCATGTGCTGCACTCCACTGTGGCACTATCCATTCTTTCTTCACCAAGAGGAACCACAATACCCATTCCAGATTATTGAAATAGGCAGATGGGGAAACGGAACACTGTAAAATGAGATGCAGATTATAACACATCTTGCAGGCTTTTAAGTTTTTTTGATTGGACATAAGAGATTGATTCATACATCTTCCACTTTCAAAGCATGTGCTGCACTCCACTGTGGCACTATCCATTCTTTCTTCACCAAGAGGAACCACAATACCCATTCCAGATTATTGAAATAGGCAGATGGGGAAACGGAACACTGTAAAATGAGATGCAGATTATTAAAATGATGGCACCTTTATTCCTGTTTTCCCTTTCTCCTCTTTTCTCTCTCTTATTTTTGCAATTAAAATAGATAATATTGAGGAGGAAAAGAAAATGGAACATCAACATATTTAGCAGTGTCATTAAATCATCCCCTCCTTACAGTCCTATGCCCATTGTTATTCATGATTTACTTACCAGGTCTTTAGCTTAGGCATCCTTCAGTCTTGAGGGCCTATGGAGGACTTAGTGTCTAGTGTGGCTGAGAAGGCCAATTTGAGAGGGACAATCCCTTCCACACTGAAGACCAATCCAGCTCCTTGATTTTGCTGCTTTCGTGACTGCCTCTTTGCCTCGGCCTGCTGGACAAGGGTCTCTTCGAATTGGGAGAGGCTGTGATGCCCTGCCTGCCTCCAGGCTGAACACTCAGAGGTCAGGGTTGCCCATCTGTTGTGGTCCAATCCTAAGGCCTTCAGATCCTGCTTGCAGATATCCTTATATTGCAGCTGTGGTCTCCCTCTGGGGGGATTTCCCTGGACTAATTCTCCATACAGGAGATCTTTTGGAATCCGACCATCAGCCATTCTCACAACATGCCCAAGCCAATGTAGATGTCGCTGTTTCAGTAATGTATACATGCTAAAAATTCCAGCTCGATCTAGAACTACTCTATTTGGAACTTTGTCCTGCCAGGTGATACCAAAAATGCGTCAGAGACAATGCATATGGAACATGTTCAGCCCTTTTCTTGTTGCAAGTGTTAAAGCGAGTTAGATCTTACACAGAATTTTGGCTTACCAGAATAAGGCACTACTAATTAGTTGCAGATAAATCTGATTAGGTTAGGGATTAGTAAAACCACTGGTGATGTCACAAAGGACTGCTTGAAATTCCAGCCATTCTAAAGTGATTTTCACTGAAAGAAACATTACCATGACTTTTTATTACCAGGATTTTTTGGTGGTGGTGGGTGACACCACAATGATTTAAATCTCTGAATACAGATCAAGGAGATTTTCATTTCAGTCTATTATGTCCTGGGGCTTATTATCCTGACAGGTGACGTATCTTCAAGGTCTTAAGGCAAATCTACTACTGTATATATATATGTCAGTTAATGGAGTATATACCTTCCTTGGGTAGAACCTTCTGTGGTCTCTTAGCCAATAGCTTTAGAAAACATTTGGTAGGATTCTTCAAATATAAATGATGGCAAGCTGATAGATCTGAATTATATAGGTGTTAGATCTTTTTCAATCTGTCTGATCTGAAGAACCTCTCTGTTGCACTGTAATTGTTAGTTAATTACAATACATAGCTGGTTTAATGCTGAATTCAAATATTCTGTCTCCACCTTGAATTCTCTAATAAATTATTAGTATGTAGACATTTAATTTGTTTTGTGATTTTTACCAATATAATCCAGAATCTAATTTTCAGTTATTATTCCCAGATTTGTAACTACTTCATATACTAAACATGTGATAAATACAGTGAGATAATAATGGAAGGTATCAATACCCGGGGAAAAAGTAAAAACAAGAACAGCTAGAGGTATATTCCTCACAATAAAGCTTTCTTAATTATTTTAAATAAAAGTCCTTAAAATGTAGTTGTAAAAAACAGCATCCTGTTATCTGTGTACGATAGCCTTTTCAGTCACATGAAAAGCCTCACTGTTTTCAGACTGTATATATTCATCACACACTACATTTACTCTAATTGTAACTTCATATTTGAGAATATTCTAATAAAATGTATGAAGGTATTAAAAGAAAGACATATTAACATGAAAAAAACACATTTTATTGCACTTAAGTTATAAGAAAATAAAATTTCTAAGTGAATCAAATCATAGACACAATCCCTTTAAACGGTTTTCCTCCATCCTGTCAGGTTGTTACATAACTAAAATTAACAAACTGAAATCTGATTTCTTTTTTTTATAAAAAAATCAGACTATAAATAAACCAAAAAAGGAAGGGAAAAAAGATCGCCTAGAATACAGTGTTAAACCACTTTCACAGTTCAGCTTGAGTTGTGGCTCTTGAGAATGAGGCAAACCAATTGACAATTTCTTTCTTTTTTTATGTGACTTTATCACAAAAACTAAAGCATTTTTGTCTTGTCAGTTCCTCACAACCATAAAACTGTAACAGTTATTCTTCTCAAATTCTGTAAAACACTAAGACTGACCAGCAATTTTATTTTCACGTTTTGTATGTTTTTTTAAAAAATATCTTGTCAGCTTTATTATGTCTGTTTTTTTCCATTCACCACAGCCCTCAAAAAGAAACGTTCCCCACAGAACAGGCTGCAAGAGCTTTGTTCTAAGGAATGTGTTTTAATTTTTGCCCAGAAAAAAAGAGAAAAGAAAATAAGCTTTGCACACACTCTCAATTCTTTACTTGCAAGCAAACTTCACTCTAAATTGTCTGAAACTCTTCCACTCTCAGCCTCTTAGAGGCACAGTTGGCTCAAGTTTCAGTGGCAAAAAGTCTTTTTTTCTCCGTAACCAAACTATAGCAAATTTGGAATTCAGTCTGGGACTAAAACGTCACAGCAGAAAAAAAATAAAAATAATTTGCTTTTTTTCCTTTCTTTTAGCAGCATAAATAAGTTTGGCCACTGGGAATACAGTACAGGGGTGGGACAACAATCCCATAGTTAAAGACCTACTTCTAGCACCAGCATCATGTATTAAATCCATCTGAAGAATCTCCACATCTTGGACAACTTGCCACCTCAGAGCAACTTATACATTGAAGAACATAGATGGAAGCAACAGTAAATAGATCAACAGAGACTAATACTGTGATTGACATTGGCAATGGTTGGCAAAATAAAACTTTTTAAAAGCCGTAAAACTGTACAAAAACAATTCACAGTAAGATTTTAGTTTTTCCATATTTGAAAAAGATTCTTTGCTGTCATATATGCTGTCTGTTTGAAAAGACAATCAATAACTGATAATGGAGTTATAAAGCTCCTTTCTGGTTTTCTGTGGTAAAAGAACAGGGTTAACAAGAATTGTAACAACTTTTTAAATCTCCACAATGCTCAAGGAGCACTGTGAGGAAAACGCAAAAAAAATAATTGCACCTGGCTTGATTTAAAGTCATATTCTGCAAAGCTGCCCCATTCAAAAGTGAATCCTTTGATGTAAAGAGACAGCAAATGCCTCTCTTGTCAGTTACAGTTTGTCAACGTCCGTCTTCTCCTTCTGTAGTCTGTAGGTCGTTAGGATCTGTTGCCCCAAGCCAACATCCTGTACCACCAAGGACAAGTTTTTTTTCCATGTTGCAGAGGGAGGATGGGAGCATAGAACATCATTTGCATTTCTGGACAAAATAATCTTTTCAAGCTTCATTTTATATCCACATCAAAGTCCAACACCAGCAGCTTGGTCTCCTCAGTCCCATTCCGGCTTCCAACTGCACACACTAGCTTTGTGTTGGAGGCTCTGATCCGCCATACAACACCTCCACTTCCCCCGCTTTCCAATGTAACTAGATTTCTGATAAATTCACCCGTCTTCAAGTCCCATAATTTCACAGTCCCATCATCTGAGCTGGTAATTACAAAGTTCTTGTTGAACTGTAAACAAGTCACAGCACTTTGATGCTTGTTGGGACCTATAACAAACAAAAAACAGCAGCTGAACAGCAAAGTAACATCAGTGGCTATTGTGTACATGCATATATACACGTGTTTGTGTCTGTCCATGTATGTGTGTAAATAGTTTAGGAAATAAAAGCAATTACTATTGGCTAACAAAACAGAAGTGAAGTGATTCCTTCCAAACAACTTGCCAGAGGGGGAAAAAAAAGGAACAACAGAGGAAAACCATTTGAGGCTGAGTCTCAAGCAGCTATGAATTCTCTGTGGAGGATTTATATTATTGAAAATGGAGGACCCAGTGTTTTTAAATTTCTAGTTTTCAGTCAGTCCATGAAATCCAGTTAGTTAATTACCGTATTTTTCGCTCCATAAGACACACCTCTCCATAAGATGCACCAATTTTTTAGGAGGAGAAAACAGGAAAAAATAATCTGTTTTCTTCTCCTAAAAATTGGTGAGCCTTATGGAGAGGTCCATCTTATGGAACACACCCTAGGACCTTTGGAGGCTCACCCTTCTCTCCCAGAGGCCAGAAGGGGCAAAATCACCACCTTCTGGGAGTCTTCTGAAGCTTCCCAAGCCTCAAAAGAGTCCCAGAAGGTGGCGATATTGCCCCCTCTGGCTTCCCGGGGGGCAGGGTGAGTCTCTAAAGGGTCCTGAAACACACCCTAGGACCCTTTGGAGGCTCATCCTGCCCCCCCACCGGGCCAGGGAAGCTTCAGAAGAGTCCCAAAAGGTGGCAATTTTGCCCCCTCTGACCCCCGGGGGACAGGGTGAGTCTATAAAGGGTCCTAGGGTGTGTTTCAGGACCCTTTAGAGACTCACCCTGCCCGCCCGGGGGGTCAGAGGGGGCGAAATTGCCACCTTCTGGGACTCTTTTGAGGCTTGAGAAGCTTCAGAAGAATCCCAGAAGGTGGCCCTGGAAGCTGGCGATTTCGCCTGCGCTGACCCTGTGGGGGGTGGAGGGAGCGTCACAAGGGTCTGAGTGAGCCTTCCAGGACCCTTGCGACGTTCCCCCCACCTGGAAGCTGGCGATTTCACCCCCGCTGGCCCCATGTGGGGGAGCGTCGCAAGGGTCCTGGAAGGCTCACTCGGACCCTTGCGATGCTCCCCCCCACGGGGCCAGTGGGGGCGAAATCATGGCCTTCGCTCCATAAGATGCACAGACTTCCCCCCACTTTTTTGGGGGGGAGTGCATCTTATGGAGCAAAAAATACGGTAGTTAGTTACATGTTAATGACTTAAAACGATCGTAATAGGACTTTCAAGAAAAGTGAGATATTTAACGAGTGGTTTGCCAGTTCCACTCCCACAGTGAGTTTCCATAGCGAAGTGTGGATTCAAATCCTAATCTCGAGTCCTATTCCATCACAATCTACTACACTACACTGGGTAGCTCTATGAAATTTAACATCCGTATATCATCTGATGAGATCCATTTCTTTGTCTGCAACAACCCAGTCACACTGCATCCTGAAACAACATATAGAAAAGGACTTAAGATCAGCCTGCCTACTCTTTTATTGCCCCCTAATTACTTTTAACATATTACTACCTAAAGGCAGTGTATTCTTGAAAACTGTGTGTGTCTGTGGGTGTTAGAGTCTGTATCATAACTGCCAGTATATTCTCTCTTTTCTGGACAAGAAGACTGGACATAAAACTGCTTGGCAGCTCTTGAACATTGTACCTGAAGGACACCTTGAGTAAGAAAGATGCTATTCTTGGGGCAGGCTGCAGTTCTTTATTCGTGTCAAAAGCTAGCCTTAGTGCTTCCCCAGCTAGAAAAAAAAAACAATGCATCACAGTGGCAGCTGTTCTTTGATTCAGATGACAGAAAAAAGTACTGTATATGCAACAGTGCTGGAGAGAAGAGAAGGGTGAAGCAATATGAGTGAGCAGAGCAAGTGAAGGGCAAAGATGCCTTTGATTCTTATTTGCAAAGCTGCATTCCTAATGACATTTTCTTCTCATTTTGCTTTAGGCTACATAAATAAACAAACCTAAACAAAAGGGTTCAAGTTTGAAAAGAAGCAGATGCTGGTAACTATGCCAAGAACAGTCCATAAAAACAGGCAGATAACAACCAATGAACATTATACTTCAGACTTGCCAATATATTAATAAGAAACACTTTTTAAAATATTGGTTTGGAAATATTTTCCTTAAATCTTTATGTTTTAAATACCATACGAACTGAGATCATTTATTATTATTATTCATTTTTATATACTGTCTTCTGTTACCAAACCTCTGAATAAATCATGGCTGCTTTCATTTCTTAATCCTGACCAAGCCACTAACCATTGCAGGATGTTGCCTATAAAATAATTCTAACAGATCAATGCACAGTTGCTGATTTACATTTAAAATAGTGTAAACAAAACAGAACATGTGTTGTAGCATATTTTGGAATTGTTATCTGCTGTATTTGGGCATGTTTTCTTTTATAGATTGAGATTTCCATTTTTCTTTCTTTGAAGTACTGAATAAACAAGACCACACATCTAGACAACAGCTTGACAATCTACAACTGAAACAACTTCTTTACTGTTAATTTTATACTGTAGCAAACAGGAAAACTACAATTTTAGTAAATATCCTACTTTGGAAGCAGCATGTATTGGTTGTCATTTTTTCCAGAGAAACAATCCAAGGCTATCAAATATTCTGTACCTACAAAGTCTCAACTGATATACGGACCAGTTTGCAGTCCATTTACAAACTTTAAAGCTACAGTTATCCAGGTACTTTAAATCCAATTAATTTTTTTTTAAAGCTAAGATAATTCCTGTTATGTTGCTGAAATATGGGGTTTTGCAGACCTTAAGGAAATTGAACAAGTTGAAACACAATTTTATTGGGTCATCCTGGGAGTTTCAAATTCCACCCCAGCTCATTCAGTTAGAGCAGAACTTGGTACAAAAATTATTTCAGGTCCGAAAACTATAAGAATGGTAAAGTATTAGTGCAGAACAAGTAACTTAATGGAGGAAAGATTGCCCAAAAATTGTTTGGAGAAGCAAAGGTCATCTAATCACAGAAATTCATCGGTGCAAAAACTGTTTAAGCTTTTTCCAAAATTTGGTTTTACAGCACAGGCTCTAAACCCATTGTGGAAAGATACAATACATAAATTTAAGCAAAGGATTTCTTTTTTTTTTTTTAAATACATTTTATAGTTTTTCAAGCTATCTCCATTTGGTTCATGATGATCAAACATCGTGTTACATTGGTTGCTTGCTTACAATTATTTGTTTTTGCATCTTGGTGTCTTCCCAATTATCCCCCCAAATTTCACAGATCTTTCGATCATTCAAACCATTCATGTATGTATTTTAGTAGACAATATTGGCTATTGTCACAATATTACTCTCATAGTATACAATGTTTTCAAAATCCTCTAATAACATACTTAATAAAAGTAATTCCAGTTCCAAATCTATATAATTTGAGGTGATTTAACCAACAAACTTTGTAATTTATACCAATGATAACTGAGTAAGCTCTTAACACATAATAGATATTATCTAGAGCGTTTTATACAAATTTTCTTTGTATAATTGTTTAGCCATTTCTATCTCCACATTTTTTATTCTGTTTATAACAATATCATATCCAATGCATGTTTAGCTCAATTTGCCTTAAAAAAAAACCCCACCATATTATGCCTTTATCCTGATTGGTGCTTCCTTATTTCAGTTTAATTCTCTTTTTTGATATATAAGATATTCCCCTTTTAAGCAAAGGATTTCTGATACAGGAGCTCAGACCGATATAATAACTGTTGCATCCACAAAAACTACAAAATGGCTGGCTAATACAAAATAATTGCACCGATTGAAAATTATTTAACTATGAAAATGCAATATAGAAAAGCATATGCACGCTTAAGATTTGAACAAATGTTTACAATGGTGAAATGGGGTAGGTTTCAGGGTATCGCTTTAGATGATAGATTTTGTGTTTGTGGAAACCCTGTTCTTGAGGACTTGGCTCATTATGTGCTTGATTACCCCCTGTATATGGATATGAGAAAAATATTTACAGCCCATCTTAAAGAAAGTGAAATACAGTGGGGTCTTGACTTAAGAACGGCTTGAGTTAAGAACATTTTGACTTAAGAACCACTCTCATAGGAAAATATTGACTTGACTTACATACTTAGATTTGAGTTAAGAACTGAAAAAAACCCACGTGGGAGGCAGGGAAAGTGCAAAATTTGAACTTTCAGTTAACTGTTGGCCAGTGAAAAGGGTGCCTGTCTGCTTCCTCACTCCTCCCAGCGTTTAGAGAGTGGATTGGGAGACAGTCTTCGGACTGCCTGGTCCTGTCCTGCCTGGACTGTCTTTTCCCTGCCTTCCCTGAACCTTTCTTGACCTAAGAAAAAAAGAAACAAAATATCCCCCTCTAGTGGTCGAAGGCAGAATAGCAGCTTCCCATTAGTTTCTATGGACGGAAAAGAGCAGATACGGATCAAATGGTTTTCAATGCATTCCTATGGGAAATGCAGATTTGACCTGAGAACTTTTTGACTTGAGAACCGCCTTCCAATACGGATTAAGTTCTCAAGTCAAGACCCCACTGTATAGAAGCATCCCAGAGAAACTGAGCTTGTTATTACAAACACCCAATTCACATACAATAAAGAGTCGCAATATTTGCTTTTAAAGCCTCTATAAGTAGATCAAAGTATTGGAACATATTTGTATAAACTGCCATAAAGATTTAGATGTGTGGGAAACTTCTGCTTAAAGTTTGTAGCTGCATTCTGTTCCAGTGAAGTGCATACACTCCTGGCAGAAAGCTGCAGCTGCCAGCAGGCGTTGTAACCCCTTATTCTGCCCTTTTGCTTAGAGGTAGAGCCTAAGATCAAAGAATTATTTCAGCCAATCCTAGTTACGATTAGGTAACTAGTATCCTATCTGAATTCTGACAACAGACTATGTAGTCATGCTAAATAAATAAAAGAGCTCTCAGGGCGTTGCTGATAGGCTCCGCTGGTTCGGACATCCACACTGTTGACTCCTTTGTTCTAAGGCAATTAGCCTTCCTTTGTTCTGTGATCACCCACATTTGGCGCTCGAACAGGGACATCAAATAGGGATATCAACAGAGACATCGCCTGAGGCAAAGCAGCTCACCTAGCCTAGCAAAAGCTCCAGACGCGTCCTCGCATCCTTTTAGGATCCTGGTGAGTATTATTACTTAAAAATGGGAAACACTCTTACACTGCTTCAAAAACAACATAAAAGAGACTTGATTTATTTGCTTCATAGTGAAGGTCACCATGATGTACAGTGGTGCCTCGCTTGATGAGGATAATTGTTCCGTTCAAATCGCTGTTAAGTGAAATCCTCGTCAAGCGAAATCCTCATCAAGCGAAATTAAAAAACCCATTGAAATGCATTGAAAACCGGTTCAATGCATTCCAATGGGCGAAATACCTGCTCGTTTTGCAAAGATCCTCCATAGGGTGGCCATTTTCCGGTACTTGTAAAGCCTGGAATCCGTCCTAAAGCACAGAGGCGGAGCCATTTTGCACAGCAGGCGACCATTTTACAGCCGTCGATCACCTGTTTTAAAATCGTCATCTAGCGAAAAATCGGTTCCTGAAGCAGGGAACCGATCATTGTAAAGCGATTTTCCCCCATAGGAACATCGTTTTGCGATCGCAAAGCGGTTTTGTCATTTAACAAGGTAATTGTTAAGCAAGGCGCCACTGTATCTGATTCAGTAGAGGACTTACTGAAGGAAATTGGTACTTTTTGTTCTTGGTACCCAGAAGGGGGCAGCTTTAAGCTTTCAGATTGGGATAAAATTGGGAATAAACTTCACAAATACCCTGTTGCTCCACTTAAAGTCCTCCATACATGGCATCTTTGCCAGGATGCAATTTCAAAAATCATGAACCCTTTGTTAGCCCAGTCTTCAGCTAATGTTCCAACAGGACCTCAGATTTTAGCACCCTCTAAGCCACCAGATCGCCATGAAAATAGAAATAATCCTCCTTCCTACGCAGCTCCTGCCACTCTTCCAACAGCCCCTTCTCCTTTTTCTTCTTGTTCAGCAGTGCAGCAGATGTTATTTTATGTTATGGCCCAAGGAAACCCAGAGGATGTTGCTGCCGCCCTCCCCCTTAGCTCTGTTTGTCCTGTGGTTTGTAACAATAAGGGACATTGTGTTCATGAAAGCCTTCCCCTTGCCATGTTTAAAAAGTTGAAAAAAGTGTAGTTGAAAATGGTCTCCATAGCAGTTTTACTCTTGGGTTGGTTGACGGGTTATGAGGAAATGGAAATCTTATTCTAGCTATTGGAAAGTCTTGGTTAAAGCAATGCTCAGTCCTGCACAATTTGCACTTTTCATGCAGGAATGGAAAGACGTTGCTGCCATTTTGGCCATAGATAATTTACAAAACAATATTGCTGTGTCTGCAGATATGTTAAATGGAGATGGACTCTTTGTCACCATAGCACAGCACATTACCATCCCTAGCAGGGGATTGGCACAAGTGGCTGACAGTGTTAGAGCAGCCTGGTTAAAAATCCCAGACAAAGGCAACCCTTTAGGGTCTTTTGCCAATTTGCGTCAGGATCCTACAGATGACTATATGTCTTTCATTAACAAATTGCAAAGAGCGACTGAACGGCAGGTGGAGAATACTGAGGCTGCTCAACGTTTGAAAATGCTAATATGGATTGTAAAACGGCCTTTGAGGCTATTTACAATAAACCAGAGACTGACATTGCTGCCATGCTAAAATTATGTCAGAATATTGGGACAGAAACTCCCCCATTACCCTCAGTAGGAGGGTCCAGCCCCTTTACTAACATGGGGGCATGGCTATGCTGCTGTGCTTACTCCCACAGGTCCCTTGTGGATCCCAGCTCAGTGAGTGAGGCCATATCATGGGAAAAATGAGTTGGCATCACAACCTGCAGAATCCAGTTCCGGAATTCAACCCAGCGATGGCTCTGGAGCGGGACCAGATTACTGCACGTCGTTGGAAACGCCCGGCCTGACCTGAAGGCACTCAGCCCAGTTACTTGGGGGATGATCAGAAACTAATTTTGCTAAAAACCTGATTCTGAGAAGAACTAAGAGTTGAATTGAAGTTGCCTGCTATCAAATTCCACTGCCATAACAGCTGCCCCATATTTCTTTTTAGTTCTTGGATGGTAACTCTTGGGAGCTTGGAGTGGAAGCATTGCACAGCACACTAGAAAACTAATTTCATTTCAGATGGGATGCTCATGGACCTCTGAATTCAGAGTCTAAAATATTCAGCAAAGTTTTTCGCTATTTAGGCCAAGCTGGTCAACTTTTTTGTAGCATCAAGAACTGAATGTTAATCGGGGGTGTAAATAATTACCAAGAGTGAAATGCCACACTGACTCACTCAATTTGAAACCAATAATTGTCATTTTGTCCTCTGGGGCTATGTATAAACAACTGCCATATAGTCACATTCTTATGTTTGAGGAAGTGGACTTGACCCATGAAAGCTCACATTAAAACACAGCAATTAGTATTTAAGGTGCCACAATGTTTTTGTCTCCCTTTAAATTTTTGTTTTGTTTCTTGTCTTAAATCTGACATGTGTTTGATTTATAACCATAAGCACACTGTCAATAATACTGCTCTATAGGTAGATTGAGAAATAGTTACAGAAAGCTATGAGAAGCTTACCTTGCAATGTTTGTAAACACTGTCCTGTTTTGATATCCCAGATTTTAACTGTGGAATCTGCATTCCCGGAGACAAGAATATTGTCCTTGAGTTCCATTCCACTAGTTAAGGATTGGTGGCCTGTTAATGTGTGAATGCAGTTTCCTGTCTCCACATCCCAAACTCGGATTGAAGTGTCAAGAGACCCACTCACCACGTGGATACCATCAAACTAAGAGGAAGAAAAACAGAACTTTATTAACATGTATTTTCTTTGCTTCTTAAAACTAGCGTTGATTGCATGTTTCCATAATTGTTTACAACTGAATAAAAACACCAGTGTTTACAAAATAATCTGACATTACCAAGAATAAATATATATTAAAATCATTGCAGGTTGATCACCACTGCCAGCTGGCCTAATTTCTTTCTATCCATACATACCTCCCATCATAATTCAACACACCTGTACTCAAGTCTTTCCAAACTTGTCTGTTCAGCCCAGTCTGAGAATGGTGCTTTGAGAGCGACTGATGTTAAATATTTCATTTCATGATAATTTTATCTGATTATTTAACGTTTGGAATTATAATATGTTTTGAACAGCTTTTATCTATTTTGCAAACTACCTTAGATAGATAAATGTAGCAAGTGGTAAAAAAATAGATGTAAGCCGCCCAGAGACCTCTGGGTAGTGTGGGCAGCATATAAATTGAATAAATAAATAAATGAATGAATGAATGAATGAATGAATGAATGAATGAATGAATGAAAGTAGCAATCATCTGCCTCAGATATCTGCTCTGCATCGAGGTGGAACAAGTGGAGAAGGGTTTCCCTAAGTTATAAATATGATCCAGTTGGTATAAACTGCACTTTAATTATGATACCCCACAGCCTGGGGGTGCTCCTGGACCCCAGTCTAACTCTGGAAGCCCAGGTGGACTTGGTGGCTAGGGTCGCCTTCCTTCAGCAGCAGAAATTATACCAGCTATGGCCTTACCTGGATGAGCGGAATCTCTTGACAGTTACACATGCACTGGTAACATCTCACATAGATTACTGCAATGTGCTCTATGTGGGGCTGCCTTTGAAGATGGGCTGGCAACTGCAACTGGTTCAGAACTGAGCTGCGTGGCTGGTGAGTGGTGGGGCCGCTAGGGCACACATCAAGCCGATTCTGTTTAAATTACATTGGCTACCAGTTGCTGCCCGGGCCCAATTCAAAGTGCTAGTTTTGACATATAAAGCCCTAAACAGCTTGGGCCCTGGATACTTGCCTCCTTCCATATGAACCTACCTGGCAGTTACGATCCAGCCAGGGGGCCCTTTTGAAAGTTGTGAAACCATACAGAGCAGTAGACAAGTGGTGTTCCGGTCTGGCTAACTCCCAGACTATGGAACCCCATCCCAACTGAGATTCATCTGACACCAATGCTGATGACATTTCAGCGCCAGGTCAAAACCTTCTTGTTCCAGAAGGCTTTTAATTGAAATAATATCAACTGTGGGTCCTGATGGCAATTTTTAGAGTATATATCTGAATTGTATTTTAATTGTTTTATCTTTTACTGTATTTAAATTCTTGTAAGCCACCCAGAGACCTTTGGGTAGTGTGGGTGGCATAAGAGTTAAATAAATAAATAATAATAAAATAAATAAATAAAAAGAAGAAAACAAACATGCAAAGAGTTTTATACTGTATTAAAACATTCTTATATATTACTTTGATATTATGTGCAGACTGTGTTTATTACCAATGCAGTAATCAATTCATATAATTTATGTTAATCATAAACTGAAATCTCTCCTTGTCACAGAACTTAAAGGTATGCTGTAATATGTATTACAACATACAAGTTCTTTCTTCCACATACCATATGTCATATTTTGATATATGGAATAAAATGTCAATTGGATGTCTTGAAATAAAATTTCTGTAGTTGCAACCAGTACGGCTGTTCATCAGGAAAGAAGAGAATTTTAAGTCTAGAACATCTGTGGCTATCACATTGGCAAAAACCACCATATTTGGTAGAACTTCCAATAAACTTAAACTCTACTTTTATCCAAAGATAAGGCTGTTGTTTTATTCCAGCTTTGAATATACCCCAGCTAGCATGGGTACTAACTCCCAATATTCTCCCATCTTTGCTTGTATTTAACTAGCATGTACACAAATATTTTGCTTCAAAATTCAGGCACAAGGAACTGAACTGAAAAACAATAAGCTCAAATGCTTATCAGTATTTTTTTAAAATATAGAAATTCTACTATAGAATTTGAACTTAGACACTTGGAAACTACTTTGGCCATTTATTTACTGTTATTTATTTTATTATTTATTTATTCTATATTTCCACTAAAAATAGTGTTAAGGTGATTTGTATATATTACTACAATAGGAAGTGTTCCATATTTTTAACTCCCAAACAGACATAATTATTAAATAGACCAATAAGTTTGTATAATGTAATCTGTGCTTATTAAACTGTTATGTTGCATTTATAGTTGTGGGGGTGGATGGCTCTGGGGCTGCCTGGCTGCCTATAGGCCTGCTGATCAGCTGTTTGGTGGGCCCATAGGTAGATAGGCATGGGGGACAAATAAAAATGGACAAATATTCATCCCTTCATATTCATCGGGGGCTCTGGAACTGACAAATATAAAGGGGCAAATATTTAACAAACCAGCAATTTTTAACAAATATAATGTGTTCTTTTATTCATCCCCATATCTACTCAGCAGTTAAGAAATGAGAGCTGAACATCTAGGAACTGAGTTTTTCTGTTAAAGTTTTATCTATACATTAAAAACATAAACAAAAACACACAAACCTTTAAAACAAAAACCGTAACACAAAAAAAAATCCATCTTCCCCTGTACTAGGACCATATGGAGATATTTTATCTCCCTTTTTGGAGCCCCATTACCCTTCCAAAATTGTACTGACTCTTGTAAAAGTACATATCCCCTCTTCTTCATTAAAACAAAATCGATAAATTCTCCCCAAATAGCTATAAAATATTCTTCTTCATCAGTTTATTTTATTTATCACTACAGTATCTTCTTTAATATTACACGTTAATGTATTATTAATACCTTTAAACATTATCTTTGAATATTGTAAGCTACCCTAGGTCCTTTTTGGGGGAAAAGGCAGGGTATGTATGCATGCATGCATGCATGCATGCGTGTGTGTGTATGTGTGTGTGTGTGTGTGTGTATAAACAATAAGTAACTAAATGAATAAATTCCAAACAGCTTTACGCCATTAATTTAACTGAAAATCACACTTTATTTTCCAGTTCCTACCTACCATTAATCTCACTGTTGTCAATAAATTTGAAAATAATTAATTATTTGTCCAATTATATTGCTCCTAATCAAATACTGATAAAAGCGCTATTTTAGGACATATATATCTAATTTAACTTTATTCCATGTATATCCTTGAAAACAATTTACCAAAATTTAATTATATTCTTATGTTCCCACAACATAAGAAAACATGTAAGTACCTATTTTCTGACATTCTCTATAAATTTGAAAGTTGCTATTAAACCACACAAATTATTTATGGCAAAGGGTGGATGAAGTGCTGAGCATAGGAGTGGGCAAAATGCAAATCCCCATGGCAAAAAATGAGCATTAAAATGTTCAGCTGCATCCTCAGTAGTTTTGTTCATGTGGTTATCTGCTGAGATCCTATCCCCCTGGATTTTTTAAAGCTGAAACAAACTTGTGGGGAAAAAGAGGGGGTGGGGAGGAAATGGCTGGTAAGACTGAGGTCTGAGGGAAGGTAGAAATAGCTTCCAGTTCTAGTAAATCCGCCCATTCCCAATTCAGTTTGTAAATTAACAAATAGTTACAAACAGAGTAATTTAAAGCTGCCAGGTTATTTATTTTTCCATAGGCAAGATTTACAAAGTTGAATTTTATTAAGGCATTAAGCAGAGAGAAGTAAAACTGAAGAAGCATACACTGCTGTGGAAGCTCACTTATTAGCAGGAGTGAAGAACTCCCAGTCAGGAGGCCAAACACAGCATGGGGAGACATTCCCTCCTTGCTTCCCTAGCAATGAGGCTTGGGTTTGTTTAGTTCCTTCAATGTGTACCTGCATCAAAGGTGTATCTCTGGCAGGCAGTTTGTGACAAGGAATAGCTATCTACCTCCTTCCCCCACATGGCAATTAGGCTTGAAAAAAGCATTGGGTGCACAAGTCTGAGCTTTGAGAGAATATCATCTGTATATGTATTGACATGTATGTGTGTGAAGAGCCTTTTGCAACTAGCATGTAGGCCATGACTGGAAAGTTACCTAGGAAGGAATGCAGTCCTTAGGCTAAAAAAGACCTGGCATATAGAATTATATAGTGAGAAGATGTGCAGTTTTGGTTGTGGAGACTGAGCATTTTTAAATTTTAAGAACTGCTCTTCCATCCTTGCTTACATGCGTAAGGTAAGCTTGCAACACCAAGGCCTAAGGGGAAAGCTGACATCATGCATGCAAAACTAATGACAGACTGAGTTAAACAACTTACCAATAGAAACTCATTTACGTATTATCAACTATTCTTTATCAATTAAAATAAAGTAAATTCAAATCTTATTGCTACAAGATTAAAAAAAAACCAGGGAAAACTAAACCGGGGAAATTAAAATGATTTGTTGACCTGACATTTTGTAGCATATACAGCAATCAAAGCCATATACCACACTAATTAATACTACATACAATTCTGACTTCAATCAATGCTAATTATTATATGTGAAAAGGACGATGATAATTTCATCTTTGGGATCCAAAGCCTAATGTGACAACCCCCATTTTACTAACACCAAAGTAATTACCCACTGATTTTTTATATTATAAAAATTATATTTTTAGGCACTGTTCCTCCTGAAATATGTGGTTTCTCCCTTCCCACTCCAACATATGCCCACATTAGGTAGGTTAAGGTGAGAGACAGAATGGTTAACAAGATACTTTCACAGCTTTTTAACCTGGGTCTCCCTACAACACTGTACACTAATCTGTTATATCACACTGCCTTTCAAGAAATTAAAGAGTTCCTTGAACCAATACACGCAGAAAGAATGATCTTACAAAGCTCTGTGTGATCAACATCCAGGTCTAAGAAAAAAGACAAAATTTGCTATACCATTTTAACAGTGTTGTAACACTGAAACAATGCAACTTCTTCGGAATTTTAAAAGCCCTCCTTCTTTGCAAAACATTGGAAGCAGAGAGGAAATTCAGTCTTCCTGCTTTCCTACTCTCCCCCCATCATAACATGCAGCAACACTCATAATGGATACTATTCAGTTGTTTTTAAACCAACACAATCAATGGATCAAAAATTCATTCAGAATGTATCACTAACATTAATGAAGTCACTAGAAATAGCAATAAGATTCTAGTTTAAGTATGTATGTGAGAAAGAGGAGAAAAATTAAGGTAACATTTTTATATGGTTGTTGTGGGTTTTTTGGGCTCTTTGGCCGTGTTCTGAAGGTTGTTCTTCCTAACATTTCACCAGTCTCTATGGCCGGCATCTTCAGAGGACAGCACTCAGAGCACAGAGTGCTGTCCTCTGAAAATGCCGGCCACAGAGACTGGCGAAACGTTAGGAAGGACAACCTTCAGAACACGGCCAAAGAGCCCGAAAAACCCACAACAACCATTAGATCCCGTCCATTAAAGCCTTCGCGAAAACATTTTTATAATTCAGTAGTTTGTAATTACCGGATGAACTCTCTCAGATATTTTGTTTCCAGACTGCAGCAGAAATATTAAGCTTTAGTTTACAGTATTTATATACCAATATTACAGTGTATTTGGAGGAAATGTCTTCTTGTTTGTTTATAATGTTATAACCCAAGGGTTCATTAGCAGGTCAGCCACAAGCATGTCAAACCTCAACATTACATATTCTTCTAATGCTTGTCATTGTCCCTTGTGTTCTGAAACCCCCTTAACAGTTTGGTATAGGGATGGGGGTATTCTTATACAAATCTCCCCGCATAGCTGGACCTGGGGCTGGGCCATCCACTCAAACATCTGCCGTTGTGCAGCCCCTCTCTTCCTTCCAATTGGTCACGGAGCCCCACTCGGCTAGTCACTCCTGGCAACAGGAGGGAGGATGAGTCTCTCTGCAAGAGAGTCACTGGATGCGTGAGTGCACAGTCTGGCACCAGGGGAAGGACTCTCGTTAAGTCCAGCTGTGCAGGGGTATTTGTACGAGTATACAAATATCCACATCTCTAGTTTGGTATAATCAAAGAACCTTGGCTATTGTTCATTCTTCATTCCTAACTCTGCACACATCTCGGCAGACACACAGCATGTAAATAAACTGAGGAAGATAAATGTGGCCCAAAGTGATAGTTTCTGCAAAATAAACTAAGATGCTTTCTCGACATTGTAAGAAGATTTTGCCATGTTACAACAACTAGGAGGTGGAAGCAACAAGTAAAATGAGATAGTGAAGGAAACATACTGCACCAGATACAAAACACTCACCTGTAATGAATATACTCTGTTAGTATGCCCTTGCAAGGTGTGCAGACAAGTTTCCGTTTCTGGATCCCAAACTTTGACCATGAAATCATATGCTCCACTAACAACTCTCCTGCCATCATACTGAACACACCGGACAGCAGCTACATGACCCATCAGAACATGTAAACACTGGCCTGTTTCTATGTCCCAAACTCTCAGGGTGGCATCTCGAGACCCACTGACAACTCTTGAGAAGGAGAAGAAGAAAAAGAAAAGCTGCAGTTAGGTCTATATGGTCAATTTAATTCTGTTTGATTCAGACCACAATCTAAATAAGTTTTATGCACAGCTGAGAAGAATTACTTTTTTGGACTTCAAACTAACTAAACTAACTCTGGGAATTAGAGTAAATGTAAATACATGAAAAGTAAATGTATAAAAACAGATAATTAAACTGTTGATTCTGACATGTAAAACCTGTGCCTTTTATTCCTGAAATCCTGACTCCAGGTTTTAAGTTTGAAAAATACTCTTGTTTTTCCTGTATTGTACCTCATGGCCAATGCACCCTCTAATTTTCAGCACCACTGGGCTGTGCTCCATCTCTCATGCACGACTTCTCCCCTGCGTGTGTGCGTGACTCCGCCCCTGCACACGCAGGGGCTTCCATCGCAACTGGGGCTGCCTAGAGAAGGAAAGCTGTGTGGATGGAGGTGGAGTGACGCACATGCAGCCACACACCTTAGAGGAATCCTTGCTCATGGCATATCTGACAGCCTAATTAAACCTCAGCAACCACTTGTATTAGTGAAGCTACTGACTGACAAGGTCATTTCCCCCTCTTAGTATATTTAAACCAAAATGCATCTGTTAAATGTCTTCTCTGAAACAGCATTAATGAGTTCCATACTGAAAGGCTTACACCATAGAATATTGTTCTCTTTAATGTTATAAATGAAACACTAGTTAAGGAAGTAACAGAATAGTAAGGTTATTGGTAGATTAATCACCTGAATTCTAAACTATATGCAGTTGTCACATTGGTCTGAGAGTGATGTTGTAGTGTTTTTTTTAAAAGCAAAACAAGTTGGAAGAAAAACAATTATAATATTCCATAGGCAATTTTACTTAAAAATGCTTTGCATTGTTTCTGTTTCAAGACACGGACTTATACACTATAAGTGTATCTACCCTGGAGACAGCAACTTGAGACAACTCTCAAAATATCCCTGACTCCAAACTAATGCAAGAAAACATGCAAGGCAAATATTAAGACAACTGAGAGCTTACATAAATTAAATAAAGAACCTCCATTTCTAACTAGTGAAACAAAATTATTTTATTACACTGACAAGCAAATATATAATACAAGAGTCCATTAGTATATAATATGATTACATAATTACATCATATCATACCTTTTTTTGCTTTTCTCTGGTTTCCTTCCTTCACTTTTATTTGTACATTTTCTTATCTTACTGATTTTTTTCCTAAACCCAGCAATATATACATTTCAGATTTATGTTAATAGTGTTAAAATTATTACATTAATATATTTGTAACCCATGCAGCGTTAAAAGCTAAGTCTGCTTTAAGACAAAATTTCTATTTCAGAGACTAATTTGCTCATTACCACTGATTCTTAATGGAACTTTTCATGTGAGATACAGTTTAGCTTTTAAAATTTACCTTTTTTCATGAAGATGCATACAACGCACAGTTGAAGTATGCCCATATAATGTATGTATACACTCTCCAGTCTCTGCATTCCACACTTTAAGGGTTCTGTCCGTAGACCCACTGATGATTATATTGTCCCTCATTTGTGATGACCAAACTCCACCAGTATGTCCAACGAGTGTTCTTAAACACTGAAACAAAGCATTTAGATTGGTTATCATTTAGTAAAAACAAAACACACATATTTACGAAACTCTAGATAACTTACTTTACACAGTAATATTCTGTAAAGTATTAAGAAGTTACAGTGGACCCTTGACTTACAGACGGCTTGACTTACAGACTTTTTGAGTTACAGCCTTCTCTGGCCGCAAAATTTAGGTTTGACTTGCAGACTGAGATTTGATTTACAGACCAGAAAAAAACCCAAAATGGAACAAAAACGGCCTGTTACGGGATTAATCGGTTTTCAATGCACTGTAGGTCAATGGAGACTTGACTTACAGACTTTTTGACTTGAGAACCGCCTTTCAATACGGATTAAGTTCTCAAGTCAAGACCCCACTGTACTAAACTGCAGGTGATCCTATTAAGATTCAAATATTATCAGAATGCTGTAACTGCAAAGAAATATATGTGCCTACTATTGGAAAAAACAAACTTAGACAGAGGCTATTGTTTTGACAACAATAATTTTTTATCTCAGAATGGTAATGAAAGAAAGAAAGAAGCAAATGTTAAACATATATAAATGCCACAAACAAGTTTTAATAATTTTTCCCAGAGTAAAGGTTAAAATCTAGTGAAGGCATGCAGAAACAGCCTAATGTTTAAAAATAAAACATGCATATCATATATCTGAAGTCAATAAATGTGCCATTCTGAGGACCAGAAAGTATTTGTAAGAAAAGAAGTGCAATTAGAATTCATTTTCCATAAGTTTTCCCCCTGCTTTCAACTATCCTGTTGCCAGTCTCAGTTAAAGAGGATACCCAATGAATAAACTGATGACTAATAAGTTTATATTTATGTGAATCCCACCGAATCAATAGGTCTAAATCTAATTAGGACTAAAATAAGATACTTGCCAAAATGAACTATCTGGAAGATAGAAAGAAGTAAAATTTATACAAATAGGTAAAACAAAGCTGCCAGATGTTGTTGGACTCTGACAGCAGTCTCAGTCTTACAGATTTACATGATCACGGTGCTACCTAAAATCACCCAGTTTAACTATACATCATAAAGCTCTTTGTGACAACTGATTATTCGCTACAATCTACCATTCTCTCTCTTTCTTTGTCCGTCATTATCTATTTTCAACTGTAAAATTCCTAGGGTACAAACCTAATTTGTTTATGAAACAATAAAGTACAAGATGTAAACACCAGGGACCTGAATGGCACAATAAATAGCAATACTCAAGGTTGACTCAATCTTACATCCTTCTGAGGTTGAATACCCCACTTGCTGGGGGTGGGGCAAAGTGTTGTTTGTATAATTATGTTGTAAACCTCCCAGAGACTGCTTTAGTACTATAGGGAAGTACATAAGTTGAAACAAGAAACAAACAAACAATACTACCAAGAGTTTTTTTTTTTAAATGGCTATACACTATAGCTGAGATACAAATCAGGTTTTTGAGCAATGTTCCTTCAGAGCAACACCCCAAAACCAAGAGTTACTATCAGATTTTTTTTCCTGTTTTCCTTCCACCCATCCAGTATGCAAATGTAATTCTTTTATGCTTGTTTGTAGGTCAGCTTTGATTTCATTCAGCATGCACTGTTTTTGGAAAGAGTACGAGGCTCATTTAAATGGTTAAGCTCAAAGACCACCTGACAGCAGCCATTGTATCTATTGCAGTGTAGATTAAGAAGGTAAACTCTATATTCACTCTAGTGAAAAAACAGGTCCACTGGCTTTTCTTCTTTCTCAACTATCATCTGTCATTAGCAATGGTCATACCATCAGATTGCAACAGAGGGACAAGAGAACAGAAAGTCAATGCATCAGTTTCTACCAGGAAGCGACTAGAAGGTTCCTTCTTCCATTAATCACAGTATGGTAGCAGCCATTCCATGAGATGACAGTAGAGTCATGTGAAAGGTTAGCAATTCTGTAATCTTCCTGTCCTTGAATTATTTCAACTCCAGCTGACCACAGTAAAATCTGTACTGCTAAGTAAAAGTAGCTGAGTTTGCTTTCTTCCTTCTGCTTCTCAACTCCTTCATCTACTGCTGGGTGCTTTATAAACCAGGTAGCAGACATTTTTATTACTGCAATAGTTAATAGCAGGAAAAATCCTGCTGGTTGGATAACCACTGCTCATCAAAGCTAACAATACTGGATCAGCTAGACTAATGGTCGGACCCAATATAAGGCAGCTCACTTTGTTTCTATGCTTCATGGCGCAGTGGTCAGACTGCAATACTACAGCCTAAACTCTGCTCACAACCCAGATTCAACCTCAGGAAATCAGCTCAAGGCTCACTCAGCCTTCCAGCCTTCTGAGGTCAGTAAATTGAGTACCCAGTTTCCTGGGACATGTGTAGCCTGCATAATTAAATTATAAACTGCCTAGATAGTGCTTTGTGTGCTATGAGGCGGTATTTAAGCAGCACACTTTTTAAAAATGAGGCAATATTTTTAAGTTTATCTGAAAGTTGATTCTGGCTGAACAAATGTGTGATAACTAGCTAGCTAAATAAGGGGAAAAATCAAAGAAATGGCTAAGTTGCTTATGCAGGATATACTCTCCATGAGCAGTTCTCAATTTGCTCACCACCTTCAAGTATCAGGTTCAGATGTCCAGAGGAAAAAACAGTTGCTCCTCTGTCACTTGCATAGATACCTGACGGAAGTTTTTAAAGAACACAGCTTAGAAAATGCCATTAAATTACACAGACACCAAATAAATATGTTACAACACGGAATGGCAAAGAGATCATATATTGTAGATCCACTAAGGTTCAGAAGCTGCATCACAATAATGGAAGAATCCAGACCCCATGGTAGCATGTGGTCCACACCGGGATGAGTTCATTGTTATTTCTGGGTGAGGATGCTCTTCTCCATTCTCATAACAACTCAAATATGCTACACCTTCAAGCTAGAGAAGCTGGATACAGTTTGAGGTATGGTGCTAAGAGCACGTTTGGCACTAATTGCTAAAATGAGCCCCAGCTTTGCTTCTAGCTCTAGAACAGAAGGTTAGAAACTACATTTTCTGTTCCAAGGCCTTGTTGCTTAGCACCAAAATAAGCCCATGAGAAAAGTCTGACTGGAAGTCTCACATTCTGAGCAGGGGTGAAAATTATCTTAACAATTGCACTGGGCTGTCACAGTTATCCAAAGCCTGGTATAACAGTATACATCTGAATATGAACATGGAAGAGAGAAGGGCCAAGCCCCAGCTTTACAAAAAGATTCATAGAAAGATCAGGGAGTAACAGTATGCTTACTAGAAAATAGGCTTCTCTGAATTCAACAGCAATTACTTCCTGTTGGAAATTAGGCCCTTGAACACAGTTTGAATTCTTTACATGAATTAGACTGTGATAAAGAGGAGGGGCAGCAATCTGGCAGCCACAAATATAGCTGGGTTATTGTTGTTATTATGGGCTCTCAAGTCGTCTCCAACTTACGGCTACTCTTATTTCCAGATATGTGAGATAATTAATAAGTAGTTTTATCACTGCCCCACACACCCAGTAAGTTATCATGGCTGAGTGAGTATCTGAATCCAGGTTTCCTGACTCATATTCTGTCACATTATATGCTACAACATACTGACTCTCAGTTTGGACGTTAATGCCAACTACATGCGTTTTTCTCAGATACCCAATGAATTATGTTGAATGGTTTTGAAATTTTATTTTACGTAATATCATGTCAATGCTTAACAAAACTTCTTCTATGTTTTAAAATGAATGCCTCATATCAAAACCATTTCAAAATCAGCCACCTGAAATAACAAAGATAAAAAGCTTGGATGCAAGACTAAGGCACTACCAATGCTACCAGTCATATCAATAAATAATGATATTGATTATGTACTATCAAGCAGATTCTAGTTTATGGCGGCCCTCCTAGGGCTTTCTAAGCATAGAGTACTCTGAAATAGTTTCTAAGTTCCTTCTTCTGGTGGCATTTTAGGACTGTGTAACTTCCCCAAGGCCACACAGGTGGCAGGGCACTCATACATACTCTGGGTGATCTCAGCTGGCCCCTCTCATAGGAGACATGATTAACATTCAAACTATCAACCTCTAGCTCTACAGCCAGACACTTCAACCCATTGAGCTATACTAGCTCCATAATAATACAAATAGTCTTGTTCATATCTAATATTTACAAGTTGATTTTGTGCGAAAGCAGCTAGGATGATTAAGAGCAACGATGCCACAATATAAATCATATGCCAGAACAACCATAATTAGATAAAATCTTCAGCAATATAAAGTCTCATTTAGAACTACCTTTCTCTCCAACAAACAGTAAGTTTGAATTCAAATATATCAATGAAGGGGTTAAATGTTATAAAAAACATTCATGCAAAAATAACCCAGAGCTAGATTTAGGGAGCAGAAGGGAGATAATCACCACTGCTGTTCCACAAATAGTTGCAGAAAAATTCAGGCAGTGCAGGTAGGTTTTGTGGCATTTTGCAGGCATTTGCAACAAGCTGTGTAGCTTCTTCTGTTACTGGTCAAACATCTTTCAGCTGCCCTTTCCTCATGTCATATGAATGTAAAGTAGCTCTTTTATAAGCAGAAGAGGATCTTTTCATGATGAACTGCATCTCTGGATCCAACCCATAATTTCTGCCACCCAATTTGACATGTCTGAGTAAAAACATATTCACATACTACTATTTGCCTAGAGAAAAAACATGTCTAAATATTCACAGATTCTCATCAGTTTTCAACGGCCACAGTTTGGACATGGTTTATGAAACAGTAAACTTGTATTAAGGCCTGCCTGTATCTCATCCTTCCATTTTCTTGCATGCCAGCTTTGATACAGAGATTGTGACTTACTTTAAATCAGAGTTCCCTTTCAGTCATCTGAATGAAATGCAATTTTAAATAAACCTGGACATGTTTGTTATGCCAGCATGTGAATGGAAAAGAAGGGACAGGAATGAAGTTGGAATATACAGTCCAAATACCTATTCTGTCTTCAGAAATAAAACCAAGAAAATGTGTTTGAATCTCCTACTCAAAAGCAGTAAACATATTTGCTTACCTTTCCTGTAACTGCTGACCAAACTTTTAATGTATTGTCATCAGAGCCACTGACTATTCGGTTACCACAGAACTGGAGACATGTGATGACATGATCATCATGGCCTTTGAGCACCTGACAAGATAGAAAACATTTACATTTTTGCCATCTAAGAATAGAAATAATGGACTTTATTATTAAAACAAACATGGTAGGAGCTGTATTCCACAATGAAGTCTAATTTATTGACAGAAGACATTCAGAATATTTTTCCTTTAAAAAAATCTTGCTTTGTGGCTACAGGCATAGGTACACATAAGCAAGCAAGGACATAGGTTACAGATTATGGTTAACATCCACTAATTACAGAGTACAGATAAGGTTAAGATCTGCTTGATGGCTTATTTAGTTGGTAAACAGGCATTAATTTTGCTATTGAGTGAATGTCTTTCATAAAATATCAAGGAGGGGCTGTGGCCTGAAATGGCAGCACATAAAGGAACAACTAAACTGGGGTAGTGATGAGGTTATAACTAGATTCAACCTGGATGACTCATCATAGACATTCCTAATGGAGTAGAAATTTTGAAATTGCCATAGTGGTTAGGGAAACATTTGAACAGAAGGATGAAAACACATGATGGAAATAGGAGGATCGCCTGTTATTCAAAAAAGTGGTCTTTTAGAGCAGTAAGAGGCAATCATTATGCAGATTACAGCATAATAGGGTATGATTAATTATGCATCATTTCAATCACAGAAGGTGAAACAGGTATCCATCCAGCTGATCTACTTAAAGCATGTTTTGCTAGCTCCAAGCCCCCAGCTCATGCTAAGGCTAACAAATCTCTCAGGAGGATTAGGGACATCACACAATAGAAAGAAAAGGCAAAACATCTCCCATAGAGTTAGAATCAGAATTCCGTTTATATTAAGAGGTAGCCTGGAGTAGGAAGTCTGCTTCACTTAGACCCTTTTGTTCTGTGTAATCCTCAAGGGGATGACTAGGATTGCTCAACCTAGTCACTGACCAGACATAGACCCGATAAATTATGCAGGACTACACCATGATCCCTGAGACAATACTCTGATCTAATACAGGTATACTAGATGTTAATTTCCTTCTGTCGGGTGCCAATGAAGCAAAAAAGTTTCAGTGCATGTTTTCTGCAGGTATTTTATTTAATAAATGTATTTTTAGTCATATTTCATTAAAACATTTAATCAAAAAAGTAAAAAATTACTGCTTTAAAGTTTTCTTAATTTATCAAGATGATGTATACTACTAAAAGAAGTCAGATAAGAGTAACAGTAGTTACTTTGAACTAAAAAGAGTCTCTGAACTGTTCTGCACTATGTTACAGAAACATTTATCTTATTATGGCAGGCAAGTGTGGGCTACTTTAACTTCTGAGAATCAAATTCATTGGGTTGAAAAGGCCAAAAAAGTAATGCCTATAGCAACAATTTACATATCAGAAAGCTTGACAGTATTGTTATTCCATTACTACAGCCTGCTGATATTAAATTACATACTGTGAAAAATTCCATTCTTTTTTATGAAGCAGTAAGGAAGCAGGTGCATCACTTACTTTTTCCTAGAACACACTGGCAAAAAGATCTTACAGTTTGTAAACAGTGAAAAGTGCTCCTTTTTCAATCTAGGTTTCTCATATGTTCTCATGGCCTGAACTATGTCATGCTTAACCTAGAAGGCATTAAACCAAAAACCATCTTCCATAATATGACCACGGCATTACTAGATATGTAATTTTAATGTACAGTTACACTCTAGTTTTTTAACACATGATGAACTTCAATAACTTATGTCAATGTGTTGACATTCACTTTGTTTCTCACGTTCTAACCATTTGAACAGTTTGAAAGGAGACATCCCAACCATCCCAATTAGGCATGTGCTATTTGTTTTCTGTTGGTGGTTTTTTTGGGTGGGTAGGTGGGTGGAGATTCGAATTCCAGAATTCTTCTTTCCACGGATCCTCAGCAAGGACCAGGACATCTTCCTTTTAAAAATAGGCATCTAGGCCAGAGCTCAGCCTATATTATGTCATGAAACCTTCTAGTCAAGCATTTGTACAGATGATGAGCACATATTATCTGTGGATCTGGCAGGTGGAACTTTCAGAGTGAAGAATCTGAGAAGACACAAATGGCATTTCCCTTATACCAACTTCCTATCACAATTAATGAAAGAGACCATAAATCTTTTGTTTGAATTGGTTTCACTATATAAGATAACTAGTCTGACATCATTCTATGTGGGCAAGATGGCGGGAACCTATTTATAGCTTTGATCCGAGTCATAGGTGTAATATGCCATGGTGTGCTCCATGCTGTGATGCCTGTCAGTTATATCAAACTGAATGGTCGTCATGGGTTTGACCATACTGCAATGGTGTACCCAAGCAAAGTAACTGGTGTTTTTTTCCAGCGGGCTTCATGGCAGTCATTCACTTCAGCTGAGAGACATGAAGTCATGAAGAGACCATTAGAGAAGACTCATTTAAAAAGTTTTTTAATATGCTTAACATATCTGATAGTGACAAAACACAGCAGTGAAATGTAGAAAATACTAAAATTTGAAGAATTTGAGCAAGTCCTTATTCAAGTTATTTCAACTATTTTAGAATGCTTTTAAGTGTCAGAAATGATTTAGTTAGTATGAACCAACAATAAAATGTGAGCTCACTTAATTCATTATATAATATTGTTAGCTCAAAGATGGTTACCTTAGGAGATTTAAGTTCTCCCCGCCGCCAGTTAGTATCAATTCTGTGCTGTCTGATATAAGCACTTTTCCACGGACTATGAATAAAGCCTGGTTTTATTACTTTCCTCCTCTTGATATGTAATGGTTCATCAATCCCTGTTAAGTTTTTTAAACAAAAGAAAAAATCAGAAACAGACACAAATGTCAGTGTCCTTCCTCTCTGTCAACCCTCATTTCAAAGGGTATAAAGCTACTAGCAATTTTGCTACATTTTCACAGTACTTCCCATCTGATATCATGCTGTCTAAATGTGTTCTGTCCTTTAGCCTCTCTGCCTTTTTCTTTATTCTATGACACTAAGACATATACTGGAGTCTCTACTCATTTTCAGTAGGACCTCCTATCCACAGAATCAATATCCACTGATGCACTTATCTGCTGCCTCATAATACTAAATAAAACTCCCTAAAATACATATTTATTTACCAGAACAGGGCACTAAAGAGAGTCAGAGACCATGCAATGTATAGTGTTTGATACTTCCACATTTGTTGGCATCCACAAGGGGGTGGACGGGACTTGGAACCAATTATTCACGGTTACTACAGTCCTACTGTATACCCACTATTGAAAGTACTTGGTTTCAGACATCATTTCTTCTTTAATAGTTGCTGCCCCATCTCCAACCTCTTTGTTCTTCAAAGATGATTAATCATATATGATTTCTGTAGTTCAAAGACTTGATCTCTTTAGATCAGCAATTGTTTCTTGCTGCTGATACATAAACTTCCACAGATCTAACCTACAGTTAGCTCATATTAATAATTGTGTACCATCAAGTCAGTTCTGACTATTCAGGGTTTTCTAGCTAGACAGTACTTCTTCACATTTAATTTTTTTCTCATGCAGACTTATGCCACTGACACATTTTAGAAGTTCTCTGCTTTTATTCACTGTTTTTACCAAAGGCTTCACATATCTTTTTAAAATTTTTATGACAAGGAAGATCTTAAGGTTCACTGTTATCATCTCTTATCTCTACCCTCTGGTGCATCTCATTACTATATTCAAACTGTTGTTTCCTGTACATATGAATCAACACCCACTTCTAAAGGATTGTTTGTTCTCTAGCCATTGGATCTTCAGATCTTGAACAGACCATAAGACAAACACCGTAAGAGAAGCACAGCACACATTTTTGTGACAGTTACAGAGCTGCTGCTCCATTTAGTTTAACAAGAACTAGCTTTCAAGCCCCAAATCTGGAGTTATTCTAATTTTTGTTTTCTACAGAAACACAAGCAAGAACACATTTCTGTATACTGCCTTCAGCATTTCCAAAGAACTGTATTGTAACTAGGCACATAATGTACTAAATTTAATTAACGTTGGCTCTCTGCTCTGCCCAGGCACCTTTGAAGATTCTCACCTAACCAGATTATACTATGGATAAGAAGTTACTGAAATCAGTCACTTCTTTATTTCCTTCAAGGGATATCTGGCTGTAAGCATTATCCCTCTTAAACAAACAGAATCTCCTTCTGCATTTATATACTTTCTTTAGTTTTTGATACCTTTGATTTCTATAGAACTTTCAACAGTTTTGTTTCTTAAACATAAAAGTATGGCTACTTTAGTCTACAAACAATACAGATACCGACATCTGTCCTTATTACAGTATCATGTTGTTATCCACCCGATAAAACAACTTACCTGCATCTTCAAGATTACAAATTATTTCCATTGATTCCTATTATGTTAGGTGCCTACAAGCTATTTAAGTTAATGAACAACAGCATCATACAAAATAAATGCAGGTCAGCATCTATCTCATATGTACAGGCATTGCTAAAGCCATTTTGCCACCTAAGACTCACCCATTGCAATTATGGCCATCAAGCTTGTTGCTCTCCTTCAACAACATGCTGCTATCTGTTCAGGTGCTATCATGCTGACTGCAAGTCTCTCAAGTCTTATATTCTGACATCTTGGAGTGTGTCATCAAAGTGTAATGAGAAGGTCACTAAAATCTCGTAAAAGATTCTTAAACTTCACAACCTCATAAGACTTCGGCAACTTTTCAAAGACAACTTTTGGGGAATGCCTATGACCTCTTTATTTGCCTCAACTGTTGCAGTTTGTTGCTGATGGAATGTCTGACCAGAACATTACTGCCAATGTCTTTCTCTTCTGTTCAAAGTAAAATCTTTGTTTGCCTCTCTTCCCAATTTGCACCCTGAAACAAGTAGCTCAGTGTGACTCTCTGTAACAGTTACCCCTAAAGACTGAATTCTGATGCATATATTAAAAATTATAGCAAGTGAACACATATAAGAATTATATTGCTTTAGAAATGACATATATCACATAAGTCAAGCCCTATGCACAGAAAGTGTTGCTGGATTGCAGGTTCTCTTTCCTTAAACAATGTGAATAACTTTGGAAAGGGGCTGTCTCCTCTTAGGATGAAGTTCACATTTAACTGAGCCTTACCCTCCTCTCTGCACTTCTCTCTCCACAGAAGATTGTCTTCTGCCAAAATTCTCCAGTATCGACACGTCTGTGCTGCCTGCAGCAGGTCCTTGGGGTCCAGGAATGAAAGCACATAGAGAGCCAACTAAAAATAAAATAAAATAAAAGTGGGAGGTTAAACTCATTGGATTCATTGTACTTCAGATGATTCACTGAGACTTGAACATTTACATAACCAAGAAACTTAGATTAACATAATCATAGTACGTGTAACTCTATGGCAAATGTTAAATCTAGGGAGGCCAACAAGCAGCCGTTATCTATTAAACATAACAGTGGAACTATAAATCCCAGCTTCCTTTCTTTTCTTTATTCATATCAGAGCAATGCACAATTTAAAATTATGGACACATATGACATACAGGTAAAATTAAAAACAAATTAAAATGCTAATATAATTATATCATTTTTTTAACCAGAAGCAGGCTGGTAAGGGGCATAAATTGCATGCACGTAAGTGCTGTATTAATTGAATTTGTCCACAATCACAGAAAATTTGCCAGAGTCTTGTCCTGGTGAGAGTGACATTTCAGAATTTATCCATTCAGCAAGGTATGTTGTTTTTGTCCTTCATAGGTTTTAGTCTAGCCTCTTTTGTATTAGTATTTAGAGCCTTTTCCTCCATTTAGTCATCATATAGGGGGTTAGTGTGCATGAAGTAGATGAGTTTGGTGCTGTATTTATCTTATTTCATTCATTATTTGTTAGCACTTCTGAATGGACTTCTGGAGTAACAATGACTGCCAAATAATAAACTTTTTCAATAGGGATAGGATTCAGGCAGCCATTAATAATCCAGCAAATTCATTAAAATCTACATCAACTTGTTTGGCATTTGCTGATTTATACTATACTGCACCAGCATATTCTGCCACGGAGTAGAACAGGGACAAAGCTGTTGTTTTTATTGTTTGTGGGTGTGCACCCTAGTCCAACCCAGTCAGTTTCTCAAGTACGTTATTTCTGGTAGAAACATTTTGTTTGATGTTTAGACAATGTTTTGAATAGATCAGAGTTTGATCCAGAGTGATGCCTGAATACTTTGAGGTAGGACAATATTCCAAAATCTTGCCTTTCCATTTAACTCACAGCTTCCTCTGCTTCTTTAAATGGAAGACACAGATCTATGTTTTTAAAGGGTTTGGTTTCAACTAGTTGTTTTCAAAATACAGTCATGCCCTGCTTAACGGTTACCCCACATTACGGCGAATCCGCTTTATGACGATGTTTTTGCTATCACAATTGTGATCACAAAACAATGTTTTAAATTTGCGAAGATCAGTTCCCTACTTCAGGAACCGATTCTTTGCATTATGATGATCCAAACGGATGATCGTCTGGTTTTCAAAATGGACACTGGGTGCACAAAATGGCTCCCCGCTGTGCTTAGGGATGGTTTCCTCGCTATACAGGCACCGAAAATGGCCGCTATATGGAGGATCTTCGCTGGACAGTGAGTTTTTAGCCCACTGGAACGCATTAACCGGGTTTTAATGCATTTCAATGGGTTTTTAATTTTTGCTTTACGACGTTTTCGCTCTACAGCGATTTTGCTGGAACGAATTAACGTTGTTAAGTGAGGCACCACTGTATAAGGAAAGATCCTTTAATGCAGAAGTTAGCTGGTGCTTGAAGGTTTCTCCCTGGACAGTCATGGCAAGTGCATCAGCATAGTTGAAATTCCTGGAGTTTTGGAATGTTAGTTGATAATTTTTTTGCAAATATTAAGAACTAAGTGTGTCAGGACACTACCCTGTAGGAGTTCGTTCCTTTGACTTCTCCAGTGACTCTGCCTCCCTTGACGTTCAACAAAAAACCTTCAGTTTAGAAGAAGAATGGCAACTATTTCTATTAGTCCATTACAGAAATAATTATCAGAATTGATAATTGAGTTTAATAAAACAGAACTGGGTAAGAATATTTTCTGAGGATTATGAATCATATAATAAATAGCAATATCTAATTAAATCTGTTTTACAAATGTTTACTGACAGAATTACAACAGGCAGTGTACTCTTATCCTGCCTTTGCAATGAAGCCACTAATAAAAGCTACTAAAATATTATTGTGTTTCCCAAAAAACAATACAGGGTCTTTTATTAATTTTTGCTCCAAAAAACACATTAGGGCTTATTTTCAGGGGATGTTTTATTTGTTTCATGTACAACAATCTACATTTATTCAAATACATTCATGTCATCTTCTTCTGGTTGCTGCACAATGGTGGAGGGTGGGGTTTCGCTTAACTGGGGCTTATTTTTGGGGTAGAGCTTATATTAAGAGCATCCTGAAAAATCATACTAGGGCATATTTTCGGGTTAGATCTTATTTTTGGGGAAACAGGGTAGTACGTGGTTCATATACAAGAAAAGTAAGAGGACCTCAAAAAAATGGAAATACAGAAAATACTCTTTCTAACTCATCAAAAAAGAACATGTAGGAAAAACTGAGGCACATTTAAGTTGTTACTTTTATGGAAGGGAAGACTGTTTTTTACAAGCTGCTAATTTTCTCCACAGTCAAGTGAATTAAGAGGAATGGTTAGGGAACTCACCACTTTCAAGCAGAAAGTTTCAGAAGGACAAAGATCTTATGACTATTACTAACCATTTCAAATACTTGAAACTGAGCTGGAACTGATGCCAGCAAATGAAATAGTGTAACTAATTTAGTAACAATCATCCCCTTAACTTCTGCACCTGCGTGCGGATGCATTGTATTGCCAAACAGAATTATGGAGAAGGCATTAATTGGGCTGTGCCTTCAGAGGGTTAGGTGGAGACAGCCTGCAGCTACATATCAAGATCAAAGTATGGGGTAGGCAGGAAGTCCTAAATATATCTATTTTTCTTCCACAGAAAACAGTTGAGCAACTCTTCTCTCTTTACTGTGAGTCACTCTG